CCTCTGTGCAGTGATTGATTGCGGAGCCCAGTGATAGGTTGCCCCGCAGAGGGAGGCCCAGGTCACCCGGCTGGCGGTGCTGCAGCGGGTGGGCAGGGCCTCCCTTTGCAGGATGATCGATCTGGGGGCCCCATGATCAATCGCCCCACAGAGGGGGGCCCAGGCCAGCCAAGTGATTGCACCCCACTCCTGTCACCCGTAGATGGAGGCAACTGGTGGTGGGGGAGGGGGGACAGCGCTGCACAGATGGCAAGCAGTGGCAGCAGTGGGGCCAGCTGCTGGCAGCCGGGGGAAAGAAAGCCCTGATAGGCCCTGATTGCTGGCTAGGCCTAGGGACCCTACCTGAGGGGTCTCAGATTGCGAGAGGTTGCAGGCCAGGCTGAGGGACAAGCCCCCCCACCATGCATGAATTTTGTGCACCGGGCCTCTAGTACAATATAATTGTTTATGAAACTAAAAACTAAAGAAACATTTAAAAATATTAGAATAGCTTATACATGTAGGATATTATCTAAGTTTAAGGTAAAAACATCCTGAGTTTCAGATTAAAGTCTTTTGACTCTTCTCCAGCTTTTCCTGAACCAAAAGACTCATCATACCAATTTCTTCTTTCATCTACAATGAGGAAAAAAAAATCAGGAGGGAAAAGGAAAATATTCAAGTACTGGAAGTCTTATCTCTTAGTTTATTGCTCTCATTTTTCTCACTAAATTAGTCACAGTCTTTCTTCTTGTTCTCTCTTTCCTCAAAAGAAAGAACAAATGATTCTTGAACAGGGAACATTAGACTCTTTTGTTCCTTTTTCTATTCAAAAGGAAGGATTACCTTGTAAAAACTTATTTCCCTCAGGAAGAGTAGTCTAGGATACCCCTTCCTCTTGGAGGGGGTGCACAGAGACGCCTGTAGAACTTAATTTTCCACATATGTATACCTTTCTAGTTATTCATTTAACAGCTTTGTCTGGTTTGGTTTCTTTGAAAAGTGAGTTTGAACACTGAGATTAATGTTATAAAACATAACCTTTAAAAGCAGCACAAAACAAACCAAAAAAAGGAGATTAAACTTATTAAAATGGCTTCAATTCTTCACCATAACATTTTAAAAGTTTAATCAACTAATGGTAGGCGCCAAGGTAAAAGAAACTGCACAGAGGGAAAAACCACACAGGTGTAATTCCTGCCCTTTAAAAATATTAGATTGAGGACATCAGGAATGGTGGCATGAGAGAGCACCTTATCTTCTCTCCCTGAAATTTCAACAAGTTAACCAACTATAACTCAACAAAGAAATTGTTGCTCGACACATTTACACACTTGAGAGACCCTTGTATTGAAAGATTTAAAGGTGGATAACCAGGGATAAATGGGGAGACAAAAGGGAGGAAAGTGCAGACAGCCCACAGATTCAGCCCTGCAGCTGAGAGCTCATGGATCGGCTGGGAGAGGGGAGAAAATCAGCGGTAGCAGGCACTTCCTTCAGCTAGAAGTAACAGAGAGATTACAGGGGGCAGCACAGCAGGACAAGTGCAGCAGGGTCATGCTGCCAACCACTGTCGGGCTTGCAGTGGTGTTTCAGACAAAGAAATGGAACCACAGAGTTCTGCCACTGCTTGGATTCCAAAAACTCACCTCCCATTGCCCTTGTAATCAGGTCCAGGAGTATATTAACTGTAAACCAAGAGATGTTTCCCTCTGTGATTGATCCCCAGGAGGGGTCCTTGGAGTGGGACCCCACAGAGGCCTTGGTGGTCAAGAATGGGAGATCACAGAGGTAAACAATCTTGCGATTCTGCACCATCTACTGGCAAATGGTAGAAAGACCTATTCAGAGAAAGCTACATGCCTAGCCAAAGGAGAATAGCATCCTATCTAATAAAAGAGTAATATGGAAATTAACCGTCACTTCACGATAAAGATGGAGGCGCCCACAGCCCAATAAGGAGGGAATATGCAAATTGA